CTTACAGCTCTAAATCTGATTCTATGATCTTTATCCTCATGAAGATGAAAGGGCCATCAATCTCTTCCACACCATTTATTCCCTACTGTAGCTTTACTTCCCTTACGTCTGTCTTGGCTCAATAGTTAGTCTTTTCAACAAGGGATTATCCACCATCAGTCAATATCTTGTCCCGTTGTCCATCTGTCATTCCCACTTTATCAATCCCCAATCTTTGATCATCCCTAGAGTCAGAAAGACTCATCTTCCTGAGTTCAGATCTGGCTTCAGACACTAGCTGTATATGGGAAAGCTTTAGAGGTTAGGCTTCCGCAGCAGACCACAGGAAGTCTGAGGACTTAAAAGATCTTGCAGGTAGTTCCTCAACCAATCAGAAAGCGCCTCAAACATTTTGCAAAACTACTGGTCCTTAAGAAAGAGCCCTGCAGGCTAAACCATCAAGGAAAGAGCAAAGGCTTTTCTCCACTGCTTAATAAGCTTATTGAATATTAACTGACACACCCCAAGGGCAGAGAGAGCTGCCACTTTTGAATATGATCCAGGTGGGGTGACATGTCAAGGAGCACTATGGGTTGAGTGTATAAGGAAGATTGTAACCTGGAAGGGCTAGGACCAATCCTAGCTCAGATGGGAGTAGCAGGATCATACTAACAGTATAAAAGCTGGCTCTCCCTTCAGGGGGGTGCACCTAATTCTTGCAAGAACCATAATAAATGATTCTTCTTTCACTTTGCACTTAATTTCGTTACTGAGAGTGATACTCCACTTGGCATTGTAACTGGGAAAGCAACGGGCTGAGGCAGCTGTCCTGGGCTAAATTCAAATCTGGATTCAGACACATCCTAGCTAGCGGTGTAACCCTGGGCTAGTCACTTAATCTCTGTCTGTCTCAGTTTCCTCAACTGGAAAAAGGAGATCATAAGGCTGTTGTGAGGATCAAATGAGATATTTGTACTGCTTAGCATAGTGCCTGACACATAGTAGGTGCTTAATAAATGCTTATTCTTTCCCCCCACACAGACAACTTTATGTTTGATGCTGTAGTTCAGAGATTCCCAAACTTATTTGTCCTACCACTCCCTTTTCAAAAAAAATTTACTCAGTGCCCCCCTGGAAATCTACTTTCTTTAACCCTTTAACTTTTTAAAAATTTGTGTCACTTCAAAAGAATATGAAATACATATTTTTTAAAATGACACAAATTTAATTATGTATTGTAAATTTGTGGGTTTTTTCCTGCATTGAAATTTTGATGATGCAATATTTCATCATGTAACAACTTAGTATTATATCATAAACAAGTCATTATATGCACATATTCCTGCATATGAACACTGGACTTCCCAACAATGTGAGACAAGCTCACCTGCCAACACTTGCTTGTTAAAACTTGTTAGCTGACTTGACCACTGATGAGTTATAACTTGGGTTTTATGTGTTTATTTGGAAAATAACGTAATAATCACTACAACTTTAACTCTGTTACACAACAGATGAAACACTTATGAATGGTTTTTCAAAATTTTCTTATCTTCTCCCCTTTCCTTATGCTTCCACTGCCCCCTTATTTTTATTCAATGCCCCCCAATTGCACTAGAGTCTACCACCCCTCTCATTTCAGCACCCCCCAGGGGGCAGTATCACCCACTTTGGGAACCTATTCCAGCTAATTGTAGACAATGGGGTTTACTGAGTAGGGGAAAGACATGGGCAGGCCCTTGCTTTAAGAAAAGCACTGTGGGAAATGAATTAAATTGGGAAGAAACTAATTAGAATAGAAGTTCTTAACCTAGGGTCTATGATTTAATTTGCTGACTATATTTTGGTATAATTGCTTTCTTTTGTAATCCAATGGACTTTGTGCATTTAAAAATAAAATTCTGAAAAAGTGTCCATAGTTTTCACCAGACTACCAAAAGGGGTCCATGGCATAAAAAAAGGTTAAGGACCCATCCAGGTGAGGTAATGAGAGCCTACATTAGGGTGGTAGCTATGGAACTGTGTACAACACAAGAGATGTTGTGATGTTAGAAATAACAAGATATAACAACAGACTGGACAAGTAGGGTGAGAGTGAGGAGTCAAAGATAACACCACCGTGGGGAGTCTGAGTGACTGGAACAATAGCTGTGCCCTACATAGTACATAATAGGAAAATTTGGAAGTAGGAGGGTTTGGGAAGCTTTAAACATCAGACAATGTTTTATTTATTTATTTATTTATTTTATTCTAGAGATAGTCAACCAGTCAGTCAATAAACACTTATTCAGCACCTATTATGTGCCAGGCAATGAGCTAAGCTCTGGGGATACAGACAGTCCTTGCCTCAGTGACTCACAAAATACATTAAAAGAAATTGAGAGGAGGTGGGGCAGGTAGGTGGCGAAGTGGAGCACTGGCCCTAGAGTAAGGAGGACCTAAGTTCAAATCCGCTTCAGACATTTGATACTTACTGGCTGTATGATCCTAGGCAAATCACCCTCATTGCCTTGCCAAAAAAAAAAAAAAGAAAGAAACTGAAAGGAGGAGTGGGGAGGGGTGAGAGGGAGCATACTGGCTGAAAGGGACAAGGGCCTGATGAGGTGCCTGCCTTGGGTCTCCTCCTAAAATAGAGGATCTTGGGGGAGTTCTCCTATTCCCACCTTCTACGGTTGCCAATCATAGGGGCCCAGGGTGTAGAGGGTACTGAATGTGTGTGAGTTTCAGAGACCATTTGATCTTTCAGGAAGGTGAGCTTCTAGAGACAATGGAGCACCCAGGTGGGAAGTGAAGACTATAAGGTGTCATTAAAAGTTCTTCAGGTGGGGTTGATACCTTAGGAATATCAATTGAATTGCTAGACTTGGATCCCCACTCCCTTCTGGACTTTGTCTTTCAGAATTCTTATCTTCTTTCAAGGCTCAGCTCAGCTGTCACCTTCCCACCAAATTCCTTCCTAACTCTTCCCTCATCCATCAATTAAGTTAGTGCTCACTCCATCAAATTACCTTCATTTATATATGCCTGTACATGCCATGTCTCCTTAGTGAAATGTAAATTTCTGGAAGTCAAGGACCTGTTTTCATTTTTGTCTCGGTGATTCACCTAGGACAATTCCTTGCAATAGTACTTACTTATGGTACTTAATTATTGTTAAAGTGAAGGGCTTGAAGTCTGTCAGTCTAAGAAATGAAGCTCTTACAACTTCTTTTATGGGGGGGGAAGGCTCAGGTATAGGGAGAGAAGACAGATGAAAAGGATAAGTTAAAGTGGAAAGATCAGCTGAACAGATAATCAGTCTCAGATTTTATCAGACAATTCTGACCTTTACAAGTATTTCACTCAATCCAAGGAGGGTTCTTTTAAAAGGTCATGACAGATAACTTCAGTTCAGAAATCATGCACTTCTCCCTCTCAATCACATTTTAATGTTGTGTTTTCCATTGTGCAAACAGGAAAGCTAAGGAATAAAATAACCTCTGTTGTTAAATAACGGTGGTCTTAAGGCAAGTTAAAATTTTAGAGCTAGGATCTTAGGGATCATTTTGTCCAATCTCTCATTTTGTAGTTGAGGAAACTGAAGTCTAGAGAGGTTGATGAACCTTGCCAGAAATTAGCTGTTATATCCGGTGCAAGTTGCCTACCTTTCTGGGCTTCCATTTCTTCATCTGTAAAAGGAGAGGACTGGACTAAACGGTCTCCAAGGTCCCTTCCTATTCTAACATTCTATTACATATAATAGTTGTAGGGTTGAATTGGGGCATTACTGAAGGACAAGAGACTAAGTGTTAGCTGTTGAATTTGAATTTATCTTTGTATCTCCTCTCACAGCTGGCTGAGAGCCTTGCTTGGTATAAAGATGACGGGATTTGGATTTTAGAAGATCTGAGCTCCAATGCTAGCTCTGCTACTTGCTACAGTAGTGCTTTGGGGAAGATCCTTTCCTCTCTTTAAGCCTATAAAATGAGAGAGGGTGGCGGTTGGATTAGATGATTCCTAAAATCCCTTTCAGCTCTAAATCAAAATTCCTATGCATACTGGGTCCTGAATAAATACTTGCTGAATAAAAGAATGAATGAACAAATATAGAAGAGGAAAGGAAAGGTAGGAATTCAATTCTACATTTATGTGCAAAAAAACAAATTCCCAATACCCTACTAACCTCGAAATACAAAGACGTGTTCGCAAGTAAACACAAACGATATACAATGTAATGCAAAGTGTTGATAAATGAAAGGAAAAGGAAAGGACTCATTTTAGCTACTGGGTGGCACCAAATTGATTCTTTGAAGGAAGCTAGGGATTTTAGCAGGCAGAGGGGAAGAAGACTATTCTAGACTGGAGGAACTGGCCAGTACTTGTGCAAAGGTTCAGAGAAGGGAGGTGGAATATGTTGTATTGTGAGACCGGTGAGTGAGTTAGGGGGGTGGTTAACTATAGCTAGCAGGCCTTTACAGTAGGACGGAGAGATTGCGAAGGGAAATAATATTAAGCAAGAATGCGGAAGTGATTTGATTTAGGGACCGAAGTAAGGGAAGAAGACTGATGGGAAGTGTAGGGGGGGAAAAGAGATTGCTGTACAAACTGTTAAGGAGCTTAAGGCAGGGAGGAGGAGAAGCTGGGGGTGGGGAGTAGAATCCAGGGATAGTCCTAGGAGGAGGAAGAGGAGAAGAGAGGAAGAGGAGGCAGGGATAAGCCTAATGGAGGAGGAAGAAGAGGAAGAGAAGCCAGAGACAGTCCTCGGAGAAGCCAGGAATACTTATAGAGGGAGGAGGGAGAGAAAGGGGAGGAGACAGGAGGAGGAGCCTGAGACAGCCCTAGGGGGGAGGAGGAGGAGGAGCCCGGGAGGCGGAGGGAGGAAGAGAAGCCACAGACGGTCCTCGGAGGAGAAGCCAGGAATAGTTATAGAGGGAGGAGGGAGGAGGAGCCAGAGACAGCGCTAGGGGGAGGAGAGGAGGAGGGGCCCGGGAGGCGGAGGGAGGAGGGGCCTCGGTGGGTGCTCCATGTTGTTCCGCACGCTGCTCCGGGTCCTGCGGCAGCGGTGGCACCGCTACAAATACCGGTTCGTGCCCTGGATCGCACTCAACCTGAGCCAGAACCGGAGGTGAGGACGGTGCTCCTCCCAGCAGGGCCCCTCACCCTCGGGCCGGCCCGGCAGAGCCCTGCTCCTGCTGCGCGCCTGCCCCGCGCTGCTCGGCTCTGGGCGGGCCGGGCGCGCGCGCGTGCTGGGAGCTCCTGCCTGAGGACGGGATCCGAGTCTGAGCGCCCGGGGCTTGGGAGGGAGGGGAGGGGAGGGGAGAGGGGGAGGGGACGTGGGCGGGGCTGGCGCGGGCTTGGGGCGGGGCGGGCTCTCCCTGCGAGCTCCGGGGAGTCCTCGACTTCCTGGCTGCGCTTTCTTTCCTGCGCTTAGGATCTTGCACTTAGAACTGTGTTTGTTTTTGGTTTTGAGTTTTTATTATTTAGTATAAAGAATTACTTTTGGGGAGGGGAAAAGGGGGAAAGAGACAATGGAAAACGTAGGGGATGTAAAAACAGATAACAATAAATAAAATGTTGGAAGATTAAATAAAATGAAATGTATTTTAAAAGATTTTGAAAATAAAACTTTAAATTTATTTTAACTATTTTGAAAATAAAACTTTGACTTTAAATTTTATTTTAAAGGTTTTGAAAATAAAACCTTGACTTTAAATTTTTAAAAAATAAAAATGTGTTTTAAGAAAAGCTTTGGAGCTGAAAGAGACATCTAAATCCAATGTCTCATTTTACAGATGAGGAAACTGAGGCCCAGGGAAGCTTAGTGACTTGATGGGAGGTCTGGCGAATAAAGTGGCCGAGCCTGGATTAGAACCTGTATCGAGTTCTGTGTTTTTGTACTGCTCCGATGCCTCCTCTAGACCCCTCCAGGTGTGTGACATGAAAGGTTTTGACAGCAGCAAGCTTCCAGCTAGAAGACTGCAATCCAACAATCCCTTCCCGCCTTGGTTTGGGAGGATAATAACAGCATTAAACAGCTAAGTTTGTATCTCGATATGCGAATCACTTCCTTGAAGCAAGCTAGGGAATTACTCTCCCAGTTTTACAGATGGTGGGGAAGGAGGCTTAGGAAGGTGGAGTTATTTTCCCAGTTCCAATAATAACAACTCACTAGTGCCTTAAGGTTTGTAGGGTGCCTTCACCTCATTTGTGCTCACAAGAACCCAGTGAGGCAGGCAGACGGTGCAATTGTTAGGGGAACCTGTGACTGAGAACTTGAGTAACTTGTCCATCACACAGTAAATATTAGGACTTTGCATCAGACCTTATCTCTCCTGGCACTATATTGAATCTCTTTTTGGGGGGAGAAGGGGAAGAGGGATGTTATATTTTATTGCTGTTGCCTTTGGTTGTTTTACCCTAGTCATCCTTCTTCTTCCCCACCGGAATTTTTCCTCATCTTCAAAAGAACTTCAGGGTAGAGGAGGGAGAATTTGCATTTCAGTGAACAGGAAACCAAATCTGAGGAGTCTTGGGCTCTGCCACTGACCAGCAAAGTCAGAATCACAATTTTGGAATTTCTTCCTCAAAAAAAGGCACTGCTTTCTTCTACAAATAGAAAAATAACAGCTAGCCTAAATAATAAATTTGGCAATTATGCAGATTCAAGGCTGTATTTTTAAAAATCTGATCCAGTAAATATTTATTAAGCACCTACTATGTGCTAAGCAACAGGAATACAATTAATTAAAAAGTACCTGCCCTCTGGAAGCTTACAGCCTAATAGGGAGACACAACACAAAAGGAAGTAACCTATACACATAAGCTCATATCTGAGAAAAACCTATTTAAAATATGATCATAGGATAGAGTTGGGAAGGATTTTAAAGTTCATTTATTTACTGCAACCCTTTCTTCCCATTTTACTTATGACAAAGCTGAGGTCTGGAGAGATTAATGAACTTGATGAAATTCACAAGCCCATCACCTACCCTAAAATCAACATTGGAGTTGTATAACTCTTATACTAGAGACATAAATCCATAAAGGCAAATTAAACAAGCTATTTGGAGAAATAGAAACATTTCTTCACTCTTTGACAAAAACTGCTGGGAAAACTGGAAAAGAGTATGGCAGAAACTAGACATAGACCAAAATCTCACACCATATACCAAAATAAAGTCAGAATGGGTTTGTGATTTAGATGTAAAGGCTGATACTATAAGCAAACTGGAAGAGTAAGAAATAGTTTACCTATCAGATTTATGGAAAACAGAAGCTAATTCATGACCAAACAGGAGACAGAGAATATTACGAAATGCAAAATGGATAACTCTGATTACGTTAAATTGAAAAGTTTTTGCACAAACAAAGCCAATGCAACCAAGATTAGAAGGAAAATAGAAAATTGGGAAGGAATTTTTACAACCAGTCTCTTATAAGGGCCCCATTTCTAAAATATATAGAGAATTAAGTCAAATTTATAACAATACATGTCATTCCCCAATTGATAAATGATCAAAGGATATGAACAGGCAGTTCTCAGATGAAGAAATTAAAGCCATCTATAGTCGTAAGAAATACAAACATTTCTAACTAGTGATAAAAGATTGGAACTAGTGCTGTGTTAGATTTTATTGAATAATTTGTTAGTCAAATCGAAGAAATAAGCTGAATGAAAATGAAATCAAATTGGGCAGCTAGATGGCACAGTGGATAGAATGCTGAGCCTGGAGTCAGGAAGATTCAACTGCCTTAGTTCATGTCTGGCCTCAGACACTAGCAAGTAACCCTGGGTGAGTCACCCTGTTGGCCTCATCTGTAAAATAAGCTAGAGAAGGAAATGCAAACCACTCCAGTATCTTTGCCAAGAAAACCACAAATGGGGCCATGAAGAATTGAATACGACTGAAAAACAATGAAATCAATCAATTAACGTTGAGTAAGCACCCACAGTGTGAGAGAACTGTTAAGTTCTAGTAACTTGCAGGGCGGCTAGATGGTGCAGTGGATAGAACACCAGGCTTGGAGTCAGGAAGATTCATCTTCCAGAGTTAAAATCTCCCAGACACTTACTGGCTGTGTGACCCTGGATAAGTCACTTAACCCTGTTTGTCTCAGTTTCCTCATCTGTCAAATGACCTGGAGAAGGAAATGGCAAACCACTCTATCTTTGCCAAGACAACTCCAAGTTGGACATGACTGAAACAATTGAACAATAACAACCCACAGATACTGTTTAACTTCTGTCTTTTACAAATTGAGTGGAGTTTTTGCTTTGCCTCAGATAAATTTAATGAATTTATACACTTGAAGTCTTAGGCAGGAATTATTTACCTGCCTTGCAGAAAGGAAAAGACAAAATCTAGAAATTAGTTTAACCTCCCCAAAGTCGAGCAGATAGAAGTGGGAAAGAATAGGGTGAAATTGTTTGGCTAGCATACTTTAGTACTTTGAAAAAGTCTGTGATTTCATTGGGCACTCATTCTACCAACACAAAATGTGATATCATCAAGACTTCACAGTTTGTGGTGGAAAATTTCATTGCTTTGAGACCAAGCATCTGGTCATGAGCATCTCCATACCTAGTTAAACAGGTCTTCAGAACACATACACCATAGAGTCCACTGCCAAACTTGTCCCCAGTGAGTTTCCAGCTCTGTATGGCACCTTTCAGGACTTCCAGAAGAGGAGGTAAAGAGTCGTGGAAAGGAAACAAGTCTTAAGAGTCAGAGAATCTGGGTTAGAATTCTGGTTCTGCTCCTTACTGCTTGTGCAGTCTTGGGCAAATCATTTTGCTTTTTTTTTTTGAGCCTCAATTTCCCTGTTTGTATAATGGTGTAACCTGGTCCCTGAGTTCTCTTCTACCTCCAAATACAATGGACTAAGGGTCATCTTCATGCTACAAGGAGATATCATAGGTCTCTGAGTTCCTTTCAGGCTCTAGTTCTATGATCCTATGAGTTTATGCATAAATGTGACATCTCTCCCCTGTGCTGAGATTACAACATGTTTATAGAAAGACCTATTGGGATATGAGGATCCCAAGTGGAAAGTGGGAAGTCTCATTTTTAGACCAAGGGGTACTGTTCAATCTAGCTGCAGAGTCAGGCTATTCCAAATAGTTCTAGATGTTATGGCCTTCAAATGCTTGAGCATTTGTTATCTCAGTTCCCAGTTGGGCCCAGTAACCTTAAACCCATCAAAAAAAGTCAAACTTTTTATCAGATGATGGCAATGATTTCCCCTTGGTTCCTGGCAGAGAATAATGAACAGTCATTTTTCCCATTTTTTAGGACCTTGAGATATGTTCCAGAGGACTCCAAAGACAAAATTATTCCAGACGAAGATGTCCTAGGAACATTACTGAAAGTTTTTCAGGCTCTGTTTATAAGTAATTTCAGCAGACAAACAGACATCCTTCTCTTGCTTCCAGAAGCCATTAAATCAAAATATCGGGATTTATTGGTCACTCATCAAAGGACGGAACAGCCCAGATACAACACTCAGCAACAAAAGATCTACAAGCCTGGAGAAGTTCTCTTTAATACATTGGGCTTCAGTATTTCCCGAGAAACTAGTTCATTGATTTCTGCTGGAAAAGGAGTCTTTGTTACCAAAGGATTTGTGCCGAAAGGAACAGTTGTGTCTATGTATCCTGGTACTGACATGTTCGATTACTTACTAATACGCTCTTGATACATAGGAGATGCTTAGTAAATGCTTATTGAATGAATTAAATGAAAGTAGATTTAGTAAAAATGGCTAACACCTGTCCTGAGAGCATTGCCCAGCCTCTATTTTCTATAGATCATCATCCTGGTTTGGAAATTTACTGTGTATTAATAGAGGCAATGGGGTATGCAGTGGTGCCAAACTCAAATATAAATAAATCCCTGCATGCTACATGTTGACTTTTTTTGTTGTTATTCAGTCTTTTTTCACCTGTGTTTGACTCTCTGTGACCCCATTTGGGGTTTTCTTGACAAAGATACAAAAGTGTTTTGCCATTTCCTTCTCCAGTTCCTTTTACTGATGAAGAAACTGAGGCAAACAGAGTTAAATGATTTGCCCAGGGTCACACAGCTTCTAAGTAGTCTTACTGATCCAAACCCAGTACTCTATCTGCTGTGCCACCTCGCTGCCCCAAATTGACTTAGAAAACCACAAATTGGCATTATCTGTGTTGTACTATATTTTTATTTATTTCATTAAACATTTCCCAGGTATACTTTTTTGTTTTGTTTTGTTTTTTCCTTTTTGTGTGAGGCAATTGGGGTTAAGTGACTTGCCCAGGGCACACAGCTAGGAAGTGTCAAGTGTCTGAGGCCAGCTTTGAACTCAGGTCCTCCTGACTCCAGGTACTCTATCCACTGCACCACCTAGCTGCCACCTCACCATCCTCCCCCCTCTTCCTTCAGTACATTGTTTTAGTGTGGTACAGCTGCACTGGGCTTGCAGACCTAGACTCTGGCACCTACCTCTGATACCTACTAGCTGAATGCTTTTGGACAACTCTGTGTCTCAGGAGGCTCCCTAGAGCATGTATACTAAATCACAGAAAAATTGTGAACTGTTTTGATAGAGTTCTAACACTGGGACTTTCCCAGGCTAACTAGATGACGCATCTTTTACATATTAACATGCAACTCAAGTTTGATGCTATAGAACTGAAGTTACTCATAAATAATATTTTGGCATGTTTACTACAGTAAATGTTTTTATTTAGCTTAAATGTACATAGACTCAGGAAAATGTTCTAATTTCTGCACTGGCACATTTGTGTGAGTGACTATTTGGCAGACAGAAAAAGCCACATAAGCTTAGAAAACTACAAGTATAGATAACAGTATGGAAAATAGACTTAACACCTCATGGGTAAGTTAATAGAACTTTCATATTCTTTTTGCAATTAGAAAATTATCAGTTCCAGTGAAAGGCTGTGGACACAGAGGATAGAGGGCTAATCTCTATGGCAGGGAGACCTGAATCTGAGTCCTGCTTCTGACACATGCTAGCCGTGTGGCCCAGGGCGAGTACTTAACTTCTGAGTGTGCCAAACAAGTCTCTCCAGACTCTAAGTTGCAAATTGTCTTATCTGTATCACTTGGAAGGAGTTTCTATACTGTACAGTGACTACAGAATACACCACAGAATATATTTACCTATGGCATTTTCAGTTATTGAAAAAAAAATACTTGAGTGTTTTCTTAAATGATAAACTTTCTCAAAGTTGGAAGTCAGAAAATTTATGTTGATTTTTGTTTATATTCTCTTACTGAAAATGGTGCCTGACCTAGTGCTTTTACAGTTTGCAAGAACCCATAAACATCTCATTTGATCCTCACAAAAGCCTTGAAGTCTATGCTACAGATATTCTTTGCATTGTAGAGATGAGAAAACCAGGGCTTAGAGAGTTAAGTGACTAACCTATGGTTATAGAGTTAGCAAGTGTCAGGGCAGGATTTGAACTTACATCTACTGCTAGCTCCAAAAGTAAGGCTTTTTTTCCCCCCTCTACATCATACTGCTTTTTGGAGGGCAGTTAGATGGTGCAATGGATAGAACAGCAGGCCTGGAGTCAGGAGGACCCGAGTTCAAATCTGGCCTCAAACGCTTACTAGCTGTGTGACCCTGGGCAAGTCACTTAACCCTGTTTGCCTCAGATCCTCATCTGTAAAACGAGTTGGTGAAGGAAATGGCAAACCACTCTGGTATCTTTGCCAAGAAAACCCCATAAGGGGTCATGAAGAGTCAGATACGATTGAACAACAGCTACTGTTTCCTTTCTTCCTTCAAATGAACTAAACTCATTTTTCAAAGGCCTCATAATAGAAACTAAATACTTACCTCTTAAAAATTAGATGTGTAAAAAGACCCCCAAATCTGAAGTTGTTGGTTGCTAAGATAATTGTTTTGTATTGTTGGATTTACAGGTTTAACTGCTGTGTGATGAGACACTTTAACATCTCACAAAGATCTGTCCAGAAATCAGAGAGGATAAAGTTTAATGTTCTAACAATTTTGTTTGTTTGTTTGAGGTAGAGAGGTTAATCTGAAATCCTACCAACAAAGATTAGAAGCATGCATCTTAGGCATTCTAAGTTCCTTCAGATATTTTGCAAAAGGATAGAATACAGTATGTTAGGAAAAAGAAATAGTCTTGAGGTTTTCCTCACAACCAAACTGTCCAGATGTTTGTATTTATAATATATACATGTTCATGTCTTGTTGTGTTAATAGGTACAGTATATCAGAAGCATGAGCCAATTTTTTTCCAGTCCATTGGAAATCCATTCATTTTTAGATGCCTAGATGGGATGCTTATTGATGGAAATGATAAAGGAATATCAAAAGTTGTGTACAGGTAAGTTGGTAATGGTAATGTAACAAAACTCAGCTGTAAAAGATTTAGCTACTCTGATCAAGACAGTGATTCAACACAATTCCAAAGGACCCATGATGAAAAATGCTATCTGCCTCCAAAGAAAGAACTGATGTCATCCGAATACAGACTGAGGCATACTGTTTTTCATTTTCTTCCTTTTTTTGTTTGTTTTCTTGTACAAAATGACTAATATGGAAATGTTTTATATGATTGTACAGTTATAACCTATATCGGATTGTTTCCTTTCTCAAGGAGGGGGGAGGGAAAGGAGTGAGGGATAGAATTTGGAACTTAAAACTTAAAAAAAACACAATGAATGTTAAAAATTGTTTTTACATGTAATTGGGGGGAAATAGACTATTTTTTTTAAAAAAATTGAGTTCCAAATTCTCTTCCTCCTGCTCCTTCACCCCTTGAGGAGGCAGGAAGATGATGTTGATTATTTATATATATGTAGTCATGCAAAACATTTCCATATTAGCCATGTTGCAAAAGAAAAACACACACACACACACACACACACACACACACACACACACACACACACACATAACCCCAAGAAAAATAAAGGAAAAAACGTATTCTTGAGTCTGTACTCAGAGTTTATCAGTTCTGTCTCTGGAGGTAGGTAGCAATTTTCCTCATGTGTCCTTTGGAATTGCCTTAGATCACTGTCTTGATCAGAATAGCTAAATCTTTCACAGCTGAGCTTTGTTACAGTATTGCTATTACTGTATACAGTGTTCTTCTGGTTCTGCTCTCTTTGCTTTGCATCAATTCATATAAGCCTTCCCAGATTTTTCTTAAACAATACTGCTCATCATTTCTATTAGCACAATAGTATTCCATCACAATCATATACCACAACTTATTCTGCCATTCCCACAGCTGATGGTCAGCCCTTCAATTTGCAGTTCTTAGCCACCACAAAAATAGTGGTTATAAATATTCTTGTACAAATAGGTCTTTGTGCCTTTTCTTTGATCTCTTTGGGATACAGACCTGATAGTAGTATTGCTGGGTCAAAAGGTACGTACAATTATATAGCCCTTTGGGCATAGTTCCAAATTATTCTCCAGAGTGGTTGATATGGTGCCATTTTACTGGATGTCCTCCATGCCTGGAATGCTCCCCCTCCTCACCTCTGCCCCCTCCCTTCCTTCCCAAGTCACCTCAAATCCTGCCTTCTTCAGGAGTCCTTCTCCCAGTTCCTCTAACCATTAATGCTCCTTCTCTTTGATTACTTCCCAGTCTCGCTCCCCACATATTCTATGTATATAGTTGTTGCTTACAGTCTCTCCAATTATAATGTGAGTTGCTTGACAGTAGGGACAATGTTTTTTGCCTTTCTCTGTATCCCCAGCATTGAGCACTGTACCTGGCACAAAATAAGTGCTTAATAAATATTTATTTCCTGATGTAGGATTCTGGTCTGGAAAGGACCCTAGGAATCATCTAGTAAAGCCTTCTTATTTTATATCTGGGGATACTGAGGCCTGGAAAAGGTTAAATGACCCATCCAAGGTAGCCAGCCAGTAAGTAGTAGAGCCAGGATTTTAGCACACATCTTCTGACCCTAAATTGAATATTCTTTCTACTACACCTTGTCCTGGGATTAAAAATCCGGTTACTTACAACAAGACTAATGTGAAAATATGTTTCAGAGGAATGTATATGTAGAGCCTATATCAGATTGCACACCATCTTGGGGAGGGGAGGGGGAGAGGAAAAGGGAGAGGGAGAAAAATGTAAAACTCAAAAGCGTATTGTTGAAAACTAAAAATAAATTAATGAGAAAAAGATAAAAATCCAGTTTAAGAGCCCCTGTGTGTTAACTGCCTTATGAAATAGATAAGTAATATTTGGTGAATGGCACTGTGGTGCAGAATCTGATTTTTTGAGGTTTTTGAGTAGTAGAAAGATGGAAAAAATATTTTAATTAGAATTCTAGTGTTAATAATGTTTTCAAATTGTGTTTTTGAGTTAGATGAGATCAATCTTTGAGCTAATGTTTTTACCTCTTTTAGGTCATGCAATGGGAGGGACCAACTTGGCCCTTTTAAAATGAGTGATAGTACATGGCTGACGTCAGAGGTACAAAATCCACTGGCTGTGGGACAGTATGTTAACAATTGCTCCAATGGTAAGCCATCATGAGCTTTCTTGGAGTATCTGGTTTGTACAGGGATGGCTGAATGTGTAAATGAATGCTTTTGCCACTACAGCTTATGTTTATCTAGCACCTTCTCAAGTGCTCTGCATACATTATCCTGAAGCAGGATCAAGTCTTAGAGTTGGGGAGGATCTCAAGGCCATGTTGTTTGGCCCATATATGAAGAAGACCCCCTTCTACAACATTGCCAAAATGGTCCTAGTCTTACTGTTTGTCCTTTGCTCTGGAAGAGGACCATGACATCAGGGAGATGATGCCATGACATGCAAATGAATTGGATTTAAGTGAGGCAGGGCTCTGCAAAGTCACTAGCCTCACTTTCTCCTCTGGAGCCATCTGGGTCCAGTGGCCAAATATGGATCAGGACAATTGGAGATGACCCAGGATGCAGTAGGGGTCCTTGGCCTTTTCAAGCTAAGGTCTTTAACAGGTCTGTTTGACTGAGGCAGCAGCATTCATTCAGTGATTAAGGCTTTAAAAAGTCTAGTCTTTCTTTGAAGACCTCTAGTAAGGGCAGGGAGATTGGGGAACCCACTTCCTCCTAAGTCAATCTATTCCATCTTGAAGTAGCTCTGATTATTAGGGAAATTTTCCTTATATTTGGCCTAAATTTGTCTCTGCAGTTTCTGCCTCTTATTCCCGATTCTGCCTTCTGGAGTAAAACAGAAAAAGTCTCATTGACTTTTTATGGGGCAGTCCTTCAGTTACTTGAAGACAGTGATCATGGACCATACCATCCAGTATTCTCTTCTATAAACTAAGCATCTCTGGTTCCTTTATCTGGTCCTCACACAGTGTGATCTTGAGGTCTTTGAGCATCCTGGTTGCCCTTTTGTAGGAGGCAGCATGGTGTAGTAGTATCAGCACTGGCTCTGGAGTTTGAAGATCTGGGTTCAAATCCTGCTGTGTGGTTAACTAACTGTATAACCTTCAGTAAGTCACTTAATTTCATTGGCTGTCACTGACATGGCAGCTAGGTGGCACAGTGAATATATAGCATTTGCTCAGGTGTTTTTCAGTCCTGTCCTACTCTTCGTGACCCCATTTTGGGATTTTTCTTGGCACAGAGACTGGAGCAGTTTGCCATTTGCTTCTCTGGTTCATTTTACAGGTAAGAAAACTGAGGTAGAGTTAAATGACTTGCCCAAGGTCATACAGCTAGTAAATGGCCAGATTTGAACTCAAGAACATGAGTCTTTCTGGCTCCAGGCCTGTCACTCTATCCACTGTGCCACCTAGCTGTCCCAGGTTATAGCACTTAGAAGTCAGCAAGAACAGAATTCACTCAAACACTATCTCTGTGACCATGGACAATTCACTTGACTTTTGTCTGCCTCAGTTTTCTCATCTATGAAATGGGGGTCATAATAGTACCTACCTCCCAGGTTTGTTTCTAGGATCAAATGAGACAATACTTGTTAAAGTGCTTTGCAAATCTTAAAGTGTTATGTAAATTCTATCTATCTATAAAATGAAGGAATCAGGCTAGGTGGTCACTGAGGACCCTTCTAGTTCTAGGCTTCTGGCTTACTAACTTTTTTTTCTTTGTGAGGCAATTGGGGTTAAGTGACTTGCCCAGGGTCACACAGCTAGTAAGCGTCAAGTGTCTGGTCTGAGACCAGATTTGAACTCAGGTCCTCCTGACTCCAGAGCTGGTGCTTTATCCACTTCACCACCTAGTTGCCACTAATATTCTTCTTAAAATAGGGCCCCAAGAACTGAACTCAGTACTCTGGATATATAGAGATTGTTACCTCTCTAGCCTCTTAATGTAGCCTAAGCTACAATGGGCTTTTTCTGGCTCCACTATCACATTGTTGCCTTAAGCTGGGCCTACAAACCCCTAAGCCCCCTGGATCTAGTAGAAGTGAAGAGCTGTCTAGCCATGCCTCCTGCTCCCCGCACCTAGTACTGTTGAAGTTAAATTTCACCTTGTTAGATGTGGTCCACTGCCTTAAGCATTGTAGGTTTAGAGCCGGATGGGACCTCAGAGCTATCAAAGTCCAGACCCTTCATTTTACACAGTTGTAGCCTGCCCAGGTCTTTTGAGATCTCAGTCTTTCATCCAATATGTTAGCTGTCCTTCCCTAGCTTTGTCCATCTGCAAATATGAGAAGCATGCCATCCGTGCCTTTATTAGTCCATTTGGGCCTTACAACAGCCCCATGAGGTTGATGGTGTGTTATTACCTCTTTATTACAGATGAAAAAGTAGAATCAAAAAAATGTTACTTGTCCAGGGTCATATGGCTGGTAAACTGGGAACCAAGGTTTTCTTTAAATAGTGGTTCTTACCCCTTATTTTATCAGAGCTTCCCAAGACTATTAATCTAATAATGTAGCTTAAATTGGCTCACTGGAACTTTGAATGTTTTTTTTTTTTGGAAAAAAATAAATCATGGGTAACAAAGGCTGCCAGGAGAATTGAAAGGGAAACTAGATTCATTTCCATGATTTTGATGACTGGTCCTTGTGCTGACTGAGCATTTCTAAGGGTTAGGCAGTCCATATGTGGTTGGCAAATCACTAAGATCCCAGTCCTACAAGTGCAGCAGTGAAGAAAACAGAAGTTGAGGTGACCAGGGACAGAAGGAAGAAGGAAAGTATGAAGAGACAGGTTTCCGGGATGTGCAGAAGAGGGAAGCTGTAGCAAACAAGAGTGTTGAGAGAGAAACTGGAGCAATTACAGAGGTGGTGGTGGGGAACCAAGCTGGAAAGAGGGCAGAGCACAGAGGTAAAGCCAGCTCTGTATCTTCTACACAGTCATGGTCCATGAAGCACAGAATAGGGCTAGGTGTTCAGTCCTGAAAACTCTGATAACAGAGTAAATCCTATCCTCTGGCTTCTTTTTTAAGCCTATAGGGAAACAGGAGTATAAGAGGGCTATGACCGGGTAAAAGAAAATAAGCTAATTCTTTTAGGTGAAGTGGACAATGTGCTGAGTCTAGAGTCAGGAAGACATGAGTTCAAATCCAGCCTCAGGCACTTATTAGCTGTGTGCCCCTGGGCAAGTCACATAACATCTGTTTCCCTCAATGTCTTCATCTGTAAAATGGGGGTAATAATGGCATATTAACTCTCCTAGGATTGCTTTGAGGATCAAATGAGATAATAATTGTAAAGTACTTAGCACAGTGTCTCACACATAGTAAGTGCTATATAAATGTTAGCTATTATTATTGTTAGCTATTATCAAAACTTCAAGAATGGATTCTGTGGCCAGTACACACTGACACCAGTCTAGGAAGGGCTGAGGCTTGGGAGTCCAAAGTCTTTGCCACTTACTAGCTGGGTGACCTTTAGTAAATCACTGAATGGCTGTGGTCCTCCAAAATGAGAGAAGCAGACTTAACGATACCTTGGTTCCCTGCCAGTGCTAACCACCTGTGAGTCCTCCATCTTTTATATCTAAGGCACAGTGATGATTGATGTTCATAATGTTGTTCTTGAATAGGTGCTGCAAGGTCCTGAGCCACCAAAGAAAGATTAAATTATGTTTAACAGATTGTGCTGATGAATTGGATTCAACATTCAATTGTACAAGTGCCCACTGTGTACAGAACACTGCTAGGAGCTTGATGAGATGCAATTAATTTCAATTAAGCAAACATTTATTTAGCTCTACTCGAAGCACCAAGCTAAGCCCTGGAGATAACAAAAACAAAACCCAGTCCCTAACTTCAAGAAGTTTACATTCTTGCATGCACAAAGGTTATCTAAGACATATTTCTATTCCCTTATAATGTGGAACTTACAATGCGGTAGTTGTTCCGTCTTGTCCTATTCTCTGTGATCCTATTTGGAGTTCTTTTGGCAAAGGTACTAGAATGGTTTGCCATTTCCTTCTCTGGCTTATTTGACAGATAAAGAAACTAAGGCAAACAGGGTTAAGTGACTTGCCCAGGATCACAACTAGTAAGTGTCTGAGACCACACTTGAACTCAGGAAGTTGAGTCTTCCTGACTCCAGGCCTGGTGCTGTATCCATTGTGACAGCTAGCAGGGGACCATTCAGTTCAATTCAGCCAGCATGTATTAAATTCCTCCCATGTACTAAGTGCTAGATATACAGAGGCCAAAACAAAATAATCCCTGACTGCAAGGAATTTGCATTCTACTTAGGGAAGTAAGAAGGAGGTGTTGAAAGACAGCATTTGTACAGATAATGAAATACTCTATATATGTGTGTGTGTGTGTACATATATGTGTAAATGTATGTATGTATGTATAATACAAAATTACTTTGTATTTGGACAGCTAGGTGGCCCAGTGCATAGGGTGCTGGGCCTAGAATCAGGAAGACTTGAATTCAAATTCAGCCTCAGATACTTTCTATCTGTGTGACTCTGGGCAAGTCACTTAACCTCTGTCTGCCTCAGTTTCTTCCTCTATAAAAATGGAATAATAATAATAGCACCTACTTTATAGGGTTGTTGTGAGCCTCAAATGAGATAGTAATTTTAAAGGGCTTAGCACAGTAACTGGCACATAGTAGGTGTTTTGTAAGTGTAAGTTATCATTGTTGATGTTGTCTATGGGAAATAGCGAGGAGCCAAGTTTGGAATGTTGAGTTCATCAGGAGGATAAATGGGAAATCCGACTGGAAAGGTAGGTTAGAGATAGATTGGGGAGGTTCCAAGTGATAAACAGAGGTGTTTATATTTTCTCCCAGAGGAGGCACAGAAGGTTATTTAGAAAGGGAGCGACTTGGTCAGACCTATGCTTTAAAAATATCAGCCTGACGACTGTGTGGAGGCTACGTTGGAGAAGAAAAAGACTGGATGCCAGGAAATGGGTTAGGTGGGTATAGAAACAGGAGTACAAGAGCGCTGTGATAGGGTAAAAGAAAATAAGCATATTTTTTAAGGTGAAGTTGGATAACATGCAGGGTCTAGAGTCAGGAAGACATGAGTTCAAATCTGGCCTCAATCACTTAGTCTAGGTAAAAGGGGATAGAGTGAGTGGAGAGCAG